GTTGACGGGAATGTGGAAATTACTCCACAATGTCTAACCACTACAAAGACCAGAGCTAAACACACAGACTAAACACCTAGACCACAGCTGCTTACTGGCAGCCGCACCTTCGTCTGGGAAATAAAGCTCGTCAATCGCTACTGTGTTATACCCCTGTCAGGCTGGAACATGTTAAATGCCTTTAATGGGGAAATGGGGAAAACAAATAGTCTTATCATAGGTTAATAATTCATTGGAGATGTTGTATGTAGTGTGTGTGGAGTAGATTTGAATCTGTCTTATCAGGCCAGTAATGCTGTTGCTCTTACACACCTGCCGGTGGTCTCTGTCTCAGGGGAGGTTTGCCCGAGGAAAAGAGAACTGCTGTGGAACCTGCAGGGGGTTAAAGAACATGACATGGGCAGAAACATTTATGACTGAGATTAAAGTAGCAATAAAGAGGAAGGGGTTCCCTGTGGCACTTGCAAAGTTGAAAGCCTGATTTCTGGGTATAATTAAAAGAACTTTAAAAAGGTTTTTTTGGAATAAGGTTGTGTAAGCTAAAACACAGGAAATGATACTTGTGTTCAAGTCCAGTGTTGTATGAACTTGAGTACTGAAACACTCACCTCTGATAGAATCGGCCCTGCTCATGTGAAACACGTAATGCTATATTCCAATGGTTGCCTTTTTATACTTTTGATTATAACTTTGCAGCTACAAATCACTTTATCAGCCTTCAGAGCATTTAGAGTGTTTTCTTTAGTGTTGTTTACACTAGTACATTTTAGTTTTGAAACACATACATTTTTTATGCTAGGCATTCACACTACTGCAGCATCTTTGAAAATGCTAAAGACCCTGTTTTTATTTGGAAACAGTTCCACCAACTGGTGACCTTCTCACACCTGCAGCTTCTCCACATTGGACGTCCATGGTTCTTCAGCGTCCAGCACCTAGACAGCAGCCCTGCACAGCAAATTTGGTCAGAAGAGAAATGGTTGTGCCCAGCTGAGCCTGGTTTCTCTTGAGTTTTTTTTTTTTCTTCACTTTTGTTAATTGGTGAAGTTGGTTTCTCGCCACTGGCTCTCTTGGTTATGGGATTTGTGGAGCTGCGCATTGATAGATTTGCCTTTCAGTGTTTGGACTTTCAGCAGTAAAAATTAAACCTCACTGAACTGTACTAAACTGAATTTCAACACTGAATAGTGGACTGATACACTGTCAATTTACTAGATCTTGTATGTTAAGCTGCTTTGAAACAATCTACATTGTAAAAGTGCAAATAAAGATGAATTGAATTGAATTGAATTGAATTGAATTTAAGTATAAAAGAACTAAAACACAAACTTTTGAAAGCAGAGGCAAGGTCATCCACAATTAAACATCAGAATAAAGTTAAATGCATACTTAATGTACACAATGTACAAGTTCCACCCAGAACCAAGTTGTAAATAATATTTTAACTAAACATACAAATACTTTTTTCAGTTAAATAGAAAAACCAGAGATACTGAATCAATCTCTAGAAGGTTCATCAGCTAATCAGAATCAAGGCTTCAGCAGCACATAGAAAAAATGGTCACACTTTATTTTGATGGTCCTTTTGTTGAATTTATGTTACATTGCATATACATGCCAACTAATTCTCATTAGATTATTAGTAGACGGTTGGGGTTAAGGTTGGTATAAGTTGACATGTACTTGCAAAGTTTCTTATAGTCAGTTAAATGCCTGTTGAATGTCTGTATTTACAGATATTAAGCAGACAGTCTACTATTACTCAAATGGGCCGTCAAAATAAAGTGTTACAAAATAAATATACAGTATATGCCTTTAATGTTTTAAAAAAGTTCACAGGGCACCAGTGTGTAATGTGTTGTGCTATTATTAAAGGGCCGATTCAGAGTGTATTTTTAAGCCATGTTTGTGTTTAAAAGATACAAAGCAATGTGCTAATTACATACTGCTACTTAGCTAACATGAAAACGACTGTCATATTTCCTAGTTTCTCTGAAAGGCCTGCCCTTAAAAGGCTCTGATTGGTCAGAACAACATGTGCTGTGATTTGTGGATCAGCTCCTTGTCAACAGGAATCGTTATGCCCCTACAAGCACACGCTTTTGCACTGTTTAAACACTGTCAGTCAAAGTAGCTGATAGCCGTATTAGTTTGTGCCTGAATCAGACAGAAAATGAAGAGGACATGTCTGCTCTCTAAAATAAAATCTGACAAGTGTCTTTCATATGTTCGGAATAAGCATGTAATGAATTGTTCATATATCTTTTGCGAGTTTGTTATTTGAGATGTATAAAGCAGGGAAAGTGGCTGCATAGAGAGACAATGCAGCACTGCTGAAGATTTTGGGTGTTTTAAAGGGTTTGGCAGATAAATATGAATTTATAGCTAAACTGTTAACAGTGCTAAACAGCATTTCCTGTTGTTTACATCCTTGTTTACTTCCTTGCTACAACATAAACTACACATGTAATAAATCAATTTTAACAAATAAAAATACTAACAGGTTGTGGCTCACAATCCATAGCTTCGTCGGTTGGAGGAGTTTTTTTTTTTTGACAAATCCAGTACTGAACTGGATACTGGAAACTGTCCTTTGTCAAATGCTAGCTATATATATATATATATTTATAATTCACTGGAATATAATAAAATGAAAATGTAAGCACTTCTCTCTTTGTGTCGTGTCTTTGGAAGCCCAAATACAGAAACAGAACAAGCTCTGTGGAAATATCAGCATTTGGATGGCATTTTAGCTTTCTCTGCTATAACATTACAGCCTCTGGTCACACCCCTTCGCTGCACGAGATGTATGCACGTGGTGAATGCGCAACCTGAAGCGTTTGTGATCTTACTAACCCGAATGATTACATTCAGAGATGTTGTTTATGTTCACACAGCTACATTACACATCAACTAAAGTTTAAAATATGACATCATAGTGGACCACTCCTTTAAAGTAATATAAAGACATAGTTTGAATCTAGTCCTTATTTAGTCATCAATTTACCAGTAAGCTACATTGTATGTGTTACTCATTTGAATCCTTTCCAGTTGTTGTGTTTTGTTTCTCTCCAAACCGTTTTACGCAATGGTTTTGTGCCCAAATTTGTACTGAGATCCCTGTTGTGTTTGGAATTATCCAGCCGAGTACTTGGCTTCTTCCCAGCCTTGTCATTAGACTTCTTTTGTTTCCTTTTCCTCAGCATTCGCCTTGTTTTGTTTCTCCTTTTTATTAAACGCTAAATATTTATACAATTTGCAACTTCCTGTCAAAATCATTTACACTCCCACAATAGCTCAGGCTCAAGCGCACAATGGCAACTGCTGCGGGGGGATACTTTAAAATGGCGCGTCTCCAATTTCTTTTAGCCATGGGCTCTTTTGTTTTAGGTAAATAAAGATTGAAAGCTCGTCATGAGTGATATCGTCCACCATGTGTTTCAGAAACAGGCCTCAGTGGCACTGCGGCGTTAGCAGACGGTAGCGGATCGCATTGTTATTCTTTTTGCAGCAGAAGCTGAGACGTAGGCCCCTTGAGATAGGGATGAAGGGTGACTGATGTTGATGCATTTGGCTGAGTTCCAGTCTCATTCAGAAGTGTCTTTTTGGATTGGGAGGGGGTTTAGTGTTTCCTTGCCACTATGGCCCTTTCCCGAATGTGATATTGCTCCTATCAGCATTTTCTCGGCTAATATGGCAGTTTAAATTCCACTTGAAAAGGCGAATGCGCGGATGGCACTGTCGTTTTAACTTTAAGAATATTAGTAACGGCCTACTGCAAAAGACGAAGCAGCTTGCATGTTCTTGGCATGTGATTTTACTTGGCTCAGATCCTCTTCCCTCCATACATCAATCCCCTCAACACTCAATTCCTTTCTTTGATCTCCCTTTCAGTTCTTTTCTGTCGCCCGATCACCGTGACTGATCTGCGTGTCATTTGTTTCATGAAAATCAGGGGCTGTTTTTTTCGTTCCACTGTCTGTCTCTAACTAAAAATGTCATGACGAAAAGGAGGGAGACTTTCATTTGTAAGTCTCCGTGCCACATAGGTGACCTCTGACCCCCAGAGCTGCCTGGTATTTGGTTGAAAAGCAGAGGGAGACGGAGGGTCTTGAAAACTATCACCTCCAAAGGGCTCATCATCTCCTGGCCTTCCTTCTCATCATCGGCAGGCCACGGCTTTGCTAGCGCTGCGAGTATCAACCCAAGTGAATCCATTACCACAAGGCCAACACAGTTCAGCAGCGTCTCTTAAGGTGCTGATGGGAAATGAAAAAGTCTTTGAGAGAAACTGGCGAAATGTCCTCTCTCTCTTTCATCCTTCGCTTTCAAAGTGGCAGTGGAGTACAGGCGGCCGTAGAGTGGCTGACTGTAACCTTATGCCCTGACCTGTTCAGTTGTGAGAGGATCCATTTCCTTTTTGTGCTGTTATTCCTCTCTGGAGAATATCCGCTCACATTCCTATAAAGCATAACAGTGTTAGAGTGCTGCGAGGGATCGGATCAGCACACTAAAACAAGCAAAACACCGGTCACACAGCAGGCGCATGTACTGCAGTCTTGCTGTCACGTAGCTTGTTGTGCTACAAATAGAGTGTGTGGTCTAATTTATCATGGGGTTGTTATGTATGAAGACGTTTGCAGCAGTCTGAGAAACAGCTAATTGGTTTGAGGTGCAGACTCCAGCGGATCTAGTTATACTTGTAGACACGCTGTGCCATAATGGCACATCTTTAAAGAAAGCTCAAACAAAGCAGAAACTGATGACATTTCATAACGTGGAGCTTCTTACAAGATGTTTTGCTTTACAATGTGATGAGTGTCTCTTAATATCCTCAAACTGTCGGTACAGCATGTTATTTTAATGAGTTAGATTTTTTTATATTCAAAATCATTTGCTTCTGTTGCAATAAAACAGAAAATGTGTATTAGACTGCAGTTATGGCTGGTTAATTTACAAGTAGAATGACGTCTTTGGTATTTCGATTCTTTTCTGTACAGGTTTGGAGCTGCCATTCATGATGATGCCACATCCCTTGATTCCAGTCAGTCTGCCTCCTGCGTCGGTCACCATGGCAATGAACCAGATGAACCATCTCAGCACTATTGCCAGCATGGCAGCTGCTGCTCAGGTCCAGAGTGTCCCGTCCAGAATGGTGACTTCAGTAATAAAGGTAAAAGGGCACAAATCATATATATTATATATTAAGAACATACACTAACAATTATTTAAGTTGATTTCTCTATCATTTATTTATATGTTGTTTGAAACCGATACTTGTTTCAAACTATAAAAACATTGCAAATATTTTGAATGGATGCCCTTTTGGGTGACATCTAAGGACAATAAGATGTTCCACAAACGTTATAAATATACTTTAGTGTCTGAAGCAATTCAGTTACGTAATAAATGTAGATAATCGGTGGACTATTATTATTTTTTAGATATACGTAGAAGTTATTATGGGGCAACATGGTGGCTCAGTTTGCAATGTCGCGTCACAGCAAGAAGGTTGATGGTTTGAGTCCAGGCTGGGCAAATCGGCATATCTGTGTGGACTTTACATGTTCTCTCTGTGTTTGCGTGTGTCTCCTTCGGGTCCTCCGGTTTCCCCCACAGTCCAAACACATGCACTATAGGTGAATTGAATAAACTAAATTGGCCATAGTGTATATGTGTGTGTGTGTGTGTGTGTGTGTGTGTGTGTGTGTGTGTGTGTGTGTGTGTGTGTGTGTGTGTGTGTGTGTGTGTGTGTGGATGTTTCCCAGTACTGGGTTACAGCTGGAAGGGCAATGTGTAAAACATTTACATATGTGTAAAACATATGCTGGATAAGTTGCCAGTTTATTTAGCTGTGGCGAAACGTGATGAATAAAGGAACTAAGCCGAAGGAAAATTATTGTATGAATGAATAAATTATTATTATTATTATTTAATTTTTTCTTTTTTTTTCTTTTTTGGTTTGTGTACTTGATGTTTGTGTTTATTGTGTTAAGTGTGTCATTCTTGTTACATATAAAGCGCCACCATGTTAGAATGAATTGCCCCACAATAACGCTTAAAACTAAAACTTCAGCTAATGAAATTCATACTAATTGAGCTATGACTTGAGCTATTTAGTTCTGCTTATCACAATTGCGTTGTAAAATAAACAGATTTAAATCTATTTTTATTTTCACAAATAATCAATTCACATAAACATTATAAAGCACATTAAATATTGTAAAAAAATTAAAATGAATAAAAAAAATTGTTATACTTGTGCAGGACCAAGCCTATTTGTTTGTCAAATAATTTTTTAACCTGTGAATTATTACGTATTTTCCATTCAGCATGTAATATTGGGTTTAATGATGTTTGTTTGAAGTCTATGGTGCTTTTTGGAGATTACAGTGCTCAGCATTTATAAGTACACCCCTCACAAATCTATCTTTTAAATTCATATTTTTAATAGGAAGCTTTACAATATTCTATTTGTGCATTTACATTAGATTTGTCAGAAGTCTGAAATACTGGGGCCAAATCTTATCTAACAAAATAACTTATGATAACAGTCCAAAAACTTATACACCCAAATGAATATGTTATAGAAAAATATTAAATACAAATTAAAAAAAAGAAATAATCAAGGGAAGCAAAAAATTTATATATATATATATTTATATTACAATATTTTGCTTGAATTTAATTGTATTATCTTTCAATTTCTAAATATGTTTGGTGATTAAAATATTATTTTAATAAATATATATGTTTATCTGTTATCTGTTTTGTTTAAATGCACCAAAATACATTGCCTATATTCATTAAATATATATATTTTTAATTTAACATACCATGTTCAGCATAATTGAGTACACCACTCAATTACGCTGAGCACTGTACATGTTAAAATTGTATGGTGAAGATCTTTCTATTTGAAACCACAGTATGTAACCACTCTTGGTTTTGAAAATTAACAAATAATTAAGGAAATTCATAAGACAGCACTGCTTAAAAGTATCTTCCCACCTATATAATTTGATCCACTGGGTAAGACTTCAAGTGAATGTCCTGCTGTTGGTTAACCACAAGAAATGACTTCAAACCTAAGGAACCTTGAATTGTGGAGCATCAAAAAAATGAAAGTGACAGTGTTAAAACAGAATGTGTTTTACTTTTGAGAAGTGTTGACAGCTTTAAGAGCTGATGGGAATAAAGACTGACATGGAAATTACTTTTTTGTTCTGCTATACAACAAAGATATTTTAGCTGATATGAAAGCTTATTGGCTTGAAATTGTGAAATTGGACATAATTGATAATTTCCCCGAACTATGATGTTACTTTTCTATCGCATACAATTTAAGGTACTTTTTAACATTTGTAAATGAAATCTCCCAGCATGGAGTGTTTCCCAAATGATTTAGAATTATTGTGATAGATCCTAATGAATAATGTGCACATTCTTTATCAGGAGCGAGTTCCAGACAGTCCGTCACCTGTACCCTCTTTGGATGACGGTCGCAGGTCAGGGAGCCATTTATCCTCCAGACAGAGCAGCAGCGTGTCCAGTTCTCCTGCCCACACAGAGAGCTCTTCTGACCGGCCACGTATGTCTTTACGTTTTTCTTTCTTTCTTTTTCTCTTTCTCTTTCTCTTTCTCTTTCTCTTTCTCTTTCCCTTTCTTTTTCTCTCTCTCTCTTTCTTTCTATCTTTCTTTCTTTCTTTCTTTCTTTCTTTCTTTCTTTCTTTCTTTCTTTCTTTCTCTACATTACACAATGTCAGCATCTTCCAAAACAAATTCAAGATTTTATTTGACATTAGTGTCAAGGTAGTTCTAAAAATGATATGTTGTACTCTTGTACATTTTCATTTCTCTGTATCTTCTCTTCTGGCTATTTCAGCAGCACTGAGATTGGTCCCTGAGCACTTAGCACTGTGCTCTTACGATAATGCGAAACTACACATATAACCTTACAAATCTGCTTTTAGAATTAAGAATAAGGTGATATCACAGAATGTACTAAAAGCAAAGCCATCAGAGCAGTTCATGTGCATTGCTTTAACCGTAAGTAAAACTATGCAATTACAGATAATGCTCTCTACTTTTTTCAGTTTTTCTGTCATCAGATGCATTAAAAATGTTGGTCGAGATATCACATATCAGTGGCCTGATATAATTAGGGGTGGAATATGTGTTTTAAATCCTATTTTTGACAAAACAGGTTTAACTCTTGAACAATTTTTGCACGCCTTTTGTAATTGCTTCTGTAATGTTATTTACGTACTTTTTGTTCAGGATTTCGGTTAGGTGAACATTAGGTATATCTTGTTATGAACATTGAGGACATGAGTGAACCTTTCATTATTAAATTAAAACAACACAAACTACAAAGAAGTTAGGGGTTGATGTAGAGTTTTTAAAGGAAGTTGTGGGCTTCAAGGGTGAGTGTTTTTTTAAGAGTCCTTTGTTTGTAAAAATCTGTTTTTATGCCCCTCTTTTCACTTTAGATTTACATCAGAATGGTCTGTCTCTTGGCCATGCCTTGTTAGGCCTTTCTCCAAGTGCACCACCAGGACCAAAAGAGGGGGATCTGGCAACCCATGACACAGTGCATGAAACAAAGAGGGCTTCTACAGAAAAAGGTTAGACACCATTAATAGTGTGGTCTATGTTGAATACCATTTGCACAAGAAATAGTGTAAATAATTACAGTTATACTTACATTTGCAACCATTCTATCTTTTAGCAGTATCTTTTAGACATTGACTACCTGAAACTTTGAAATTATATTGGCCACTCTGTATTACACTCTGATTTGAGTGTTAGAAATGGTGGAAAGAGCACTGAAAAATCATACTTAAGTAAAAGTGCAATTACTTGTCTATAAAAAGTTCAAGTAGAGTAAAATTATCTGTTGTGAAAACTACATCAAGTATGAGTAAAAAGTAGCCATTTTAATGAAGTCAGTATATCTGATGCAATTTTATGGTGTACACACACTAGGCTATCCGAAACATGCATGGGCACAATAGACCACTATTTCCTGGTTTGTTTGACAAGTGTGAGTGCATTGAATCGTGCTCAGGTGTGGTTCAGTTTGCCGACCATGGCCTGGTTGGAAGACATCTGTCAGAGAGCGGTTTGGTTAGGCTTTGGCACAGTACACTTGTAATGTGAGTTCATTTTTAATGATCACAAACTGTCATAGTTTATTAAAGATACAAAATCCTTACTGCATGTCATCTGCCACCTTCAGCAAACCTCCAGCAAAACCTCAGTCACCACATCCCAAATGCAATCCAGGCTCATTCTGATTACGTACCTCTATATACATCTTTGGAGAGAGCAAACTATGTCAGAGGAGCCACGTTTTTTGCAGTTTTTGTTTTTGCGAATCCACCAGAGGCCTCTGTGTACGGTTTTTCAGATCGCAAATGTCTCTCGAGTGCCATTCGTGACTGCTGTTCTCACGTAAAGCCACCAAATTTTTTACCTTTTATATCAAGCTACTGGACAAACTAGTAACAGCAGAATAGCTGTCAATATGGAGGTAAACGATCAGCTGGTAAGCGAGAAAAGAAACGGTATCATACCACCCCATACCGTTCGTTTTAAAGGCGAAATGCAGCCATACATAGCTTAGACTACATATTTTGTGATCTCCAGAAATGTATTTAGGGCTACTTTTTAGAATGAGCCTATGTTGCCCAAATGACTTAAAATAATACGAAACAATATAAATAGAGCATTGCAGTGTGAGTGCAGGCTGAGGGGGAGGGGGGAATGGGGGACAATCGCGCCCCTTTTACGGTTCAATGCAACCATGCCTAGAACACCCTTACTTAGCCAATCATCGTAGACAAGAATAAAAAAAAACGTAGAGGTAGTGACTGCAGGGTGACAGAAAATTAGTGTCCCAAAAACAACGTTTGATACTGTGAAACTGTATTTTACACCACTGAATGTTAGTTTAGTAGTAGACTGTCATGTTATGCAGGCCCATAGCCAGGGGGCGCTTGGGTGATTGGGAAGACCCACCCCTGACTTACAAAGGTTTAGAATTTGTCCTATACAAGAGCTCATGTGTCCTATTTTGACTGCAATGCCATCATAAATAGTGAAAATAACCAATAGAAAAAAAAACAAGCGGAATCTTCTGTTGTCTGTCCCTTCGGCATGACTTAAGCTAGCCAGTTTTGGACAATGCTAACAAATATTTTAATTTTATAATATGACGTAGAGAAGTCATCTTTCGCTAGTGTATTATCAAATAAAGAAAACATTTTACAAGTAACTTTTAGTGTAAATCTTGAAGCTTGTTCTTGAAACAAAAATGACCAATAAAAAGGTGTGAAGCAACAAAAAACAGCTAAATTAACTTGATTAAAAACAGATTAAATTAACTTGAATATATTTTGGCTATTTTTTGGCACAGGCTATTTTCTTTTCGGCTTAGTCACTTTTAATAATCAGGGGTCGCCTCAGCGGAATGAACTACCAACTTATCCAGCACATGTTTTTACGTAATAAATTTTTATTTTAAAAAATAAGTATTTTTTTTATAATTTTAAAATCTTTAGGAAATATTTTTACACAATTATTGTATAATAAAAAGTGTGTTAATGATAACCATCCAACTAGCTAATCCAGCTAAAAAACTTAAAATACTGCTAAAAATGTCACTAAAATGCAGTATTAAACCCTTATAATTGAATAGAAAATAGGGTGTACAACTGCCAAAAGGTCCACTTATTGAGAAAAAAGAATGACCCCTTTCACCAGGCTCGCTACAGGCCTGTTACAGTTAATACATTAAGTTGGCTTACTTACAAATGTACATGTAGTCAGTGAGGGAGCATCATAATGAAGTATTAGCAGCTTTAAAGCTCTCAGTCTACTAATATTCTAATGACTTGTTGACATTTTGTTATAGTTACTTTAGACATCAGCAGAATGTCTTAAGGGGACAATCAGATTAAAGTGTTACCTCATCTTTTTCAGAATAAACAAAACAAAGAGTTAATAATATGTTCATTTTAAAATAAATGACTGATCCATCGTTTACTAATTATACAGATTTGATGCTTTAGGAAATAATTACTAAGGTGCCTTCTGTCTGAGACTGGTAAACAACACAGTTTAAACAGTATAAAAGTGCTTATCTCAGATGCAAAAACAAGTTCATTACAGTACAGTTCACCAAGGTCAAAACGTTTAGCAATGACTGCACTTTTGCTGTTCTTCTAATGCTATAAAAACATGCTTTGAATTACATAACAGAAATAAACGTCATGGAAAAGCCAAGCATTTTTCCTAAACAGATTTGAACTGGTCTAATATTTTTTCCCTCAGCTTAGCAGATCATTTATCAGCAACGGCATAGATTGACTGCAGGAAATGATTGTTGATCTCGCTGATATGTTATTTAATATTTCCCTTCTATTCATACGCAAGTCTTGATGTGTGCTTTCTAAGAAATCAATGAATCCTCTTGCTCACAATTCTGTGAAAATGATCCATGGAGCTAGAAATGGCACAGTAGTAGGGCTGAATTAGTTAGCGATTTGCAGACCGTGAAGTAATGAGCAAGACCCCCGCCTCTTCTTCCAAGCAACTCCCTTACCCTGGCCCTCCTGGAGGTGTAATTTTCCTAATAACCTCCCAGAACCCTTGTTTGGTTTTTGCGTTTGAAGGCTTTCATTAGGCTAATGAGGACTTTGCAAGGACGAGTAGTCAGCACAATTTCCTCATTGTGCCGTGGAGAGAAGACAGCACATCCGAAATCGGAAAGGGGGGCTTTTTGTGTGACTGCGCACAGCCTTTTGGGATTTGGCGAAATCGTAGAGATCACACAGGTGCTAAAACCCTGCATTTCATTTGTCAAATTTCAAAGGGTTTCTATCACTGATGTGTCAAAGATATAGGCAGGTTAAGGAAGGAGGAGGAGAAGTAGATTTATTAACAGTTGTTTTTTTTCATTAACACACAACAAAAGGAAAACTAAACTAGCTGTAGACCAGGAAAACACTGGGGAAGGAGATATCATAATACTGGATACAGGACAAGAAAACAGGAGAACAGAAAAAACTACAGTAGGAAAAAGCATAATTGTGAAATAAGGCTACAACATTAAATCTGGTGAAATTTATATATATTGCGATATAAGTAATTTCCTATCCAATGTTGGGGAAAGTTAGTTGAGAAAGTAATGCATTATAATATTGAGGTACTCCCCAAAAAAGTAACTAGTTGCGTTAATTAGTTATGGTAAGCAATGCATTACATTACTTTAGCCTTACTTTTTGCTTTACTTATTCTGACCTGGCTGCAGCTTGATCTCATTCAGAACTTGCAGGGTTTTTACTTCCTTTTTTAAAAGCAGAGCTCTGAAATTTGCACCCCCAGTATAACCTTCATTTACCTTTAAAAAAACACAGAAAATGAATGTAGGGTAATATTAACTGAGAATTTCCTGACCCCAGAGCTGTACATGCCATATATACAGATTAATGAAAGTTTAAAGCAATGTGTTTGCTACTTTTGTACTTTTTGTCTAAAAAGGTAAACTCCCTATCCATTCAGATAATCCTCTTTTGCTTTTCTTCCATGTGTTCAAAATAATGACAATATTTCTATTGCAGAAATGTAAGGTCTGCCATCTTCATTTTTGTCTGCTCCTGCATTCTCTCATTGCGTGCCAGATTCAGTGTTACTACAATCATTTTAATTCAGCATTTTATTTTTTCAAAGTGACTAAACTAAAAAGTAACTTGCAATACATTTAAAAAAAAGTAACTTTAGTAATACGTTACTTTACCCTTTACTAACTAATAATTATATTTTATCAATGTTTCTCAACCACATTCCTGGAGGACCACAAGCTCTGCACATTTTCTATGTCTTCTTAACCAAACGCAACTGATTCTGATCATCAGCTTATTACCTGTAATGGGTGTGACAGACAAAAGAGACATCCAAAACATGCAATGTTGGTGGTCCTCCAGTAATGTTGTTGAGAAACACTGATTTACATAATGATATATAGTACATTTTCTGTAGATCCAATGAGTTATTATTGACCACATGGAGCTGAGCTGTTTCCTTTTGAATGATCAAATATGGACTCATTCATATATGATCATTTTTTCTCACTTAGAACTTTTGGGCAAATGTTTGCTGTACATTAAACGACAACTCCATTTGCTGAAAGACAGAGTTAAGATTCTCTTCTTTTATCCCACATGGATACTATGAGGGTTAACAAAAGACCAATACCTTAAGTATGGTGAGAATGAATGAATGACAGTTTCTAAAATTGTCTGAGAGGCCTCCCCATTTTGCCCAGTAGGCTTACCTTGTGTTTTATTTGCTAATTTAAGCTATTTTTAAAATATAAATATAATGTATAAAACTATACATTATTTGTATTACTTCTAAATACCCATACATCAGATCAGCTTTTTATATTAATGGACCATGCACAGATATTAATGTTTTACAATGTTTTTACACTATATTATTTGAATCTACCAAGCTTAGCTTACAATATTTACATTGCTCTACTTACATTAAATCTAATCCCCAAATATCAGAAATGACAACAGTTTGTTAAGATTTGATTAATGTATTTTTTTTATTTTTA